GGGGTCATCATTAGCACCGTGCCGTTACTCATCAATTCCAAGGGGCGGTGTTCGCCGAACGATGTCTATAGCACCGCGCGAACTCCAAAAACATTGCTTACAACCTTCTGCCCCCGTTACGATTCCCTTACGGTTTCCTAGCAAAGTTCGTCCGGGTCTCGGTGACCTTTGTCTGCCTGGGCGCTGAGAAGATTGGGTTGCGGCCTGAGCAAAATGCTCAGCACTCGAAGCACGCCCAACGAACTGGAATGCTTTATTTCTGAAAGCGGTTCCTGAAGTCGCTTGATTGTCTTCGCCCTCTTTTTGTTTTTTTTTTTTTTCCGCGCTTGCTGTGTATCTTAGACCGTGCGATGCAAGCAAGCTAGGCACCACGTGCTCTCCTGGCAGCGCAGGCCGCAGCGATCCGTAGTCGGTTGTGCACGCGTCGCTTCTGCATGGGGCGCGAGAGGATAACACCAGACCTTGATTGTCTTCGCCCTCCCCCCCCCCCCCCCCCCCCCCCCCCCCCCCCCCCCCCCCCCCCCCCCCCCCACCCCCCCCGCCCCCCCCCCCCCCCCCCCCCCCCCCCCCCCCCCCCCCCCCCCCCTCCCCCCCCCCCCCCCGCCCCCCCCCCCCCCCCCCCCCCCCCCCCCCCCCCCCCCCCCCCCCCCCCCCCCCCCCCCCCCCCCCCACCCCCCCCCCCCCCCCCCCCCCTCCCCCCCCCCGCCCCCCCCCCCCCCCCCCCCCCCCCCCCCCCCCCCCCCCCCAGGCCCCCCCCCCACCCCCCCCCCCCCCCCCCCCCCCCCCCCCCCCCCCCCCCCCCCCCCCCCCCCCCCCCCCCCCCCCCTCCCCCACCCCCCCCCCCCACCCCTCCCCCCCCCCCTCCCTTTGGATACGATCGCCATTGCAGCCCCCAATCGGAAACGGATGTTCGTCGGGCGTCCTAGAAGGGTGGTCCATCCAAGAATAACGCTCTGACTGCCCGATATCATTCACGCCCGTCCGTGACTTCCCGGTAGACGTACTCAACAGTAGTATCCTAAAAGAAATGGGAATGGTAGTGGTTATGGCATGGTAGTAGCCGTAGCAGTCGGAGTAGTACTAGTAGCAGTAGTAGTGGTGGTAGTAGTAGTAGTAGTAGCAGTAGTACTAGGGGTAGTAGTAGTAGTAGTAGTAGTAGTAGTAGTAGTAGTCGTAGTAGTAGTAGTAGTAGTAGTAGTAGTAGTAGTAGTAGTGGTGGTAGTGTTAATAGTGATAGTAGTAGTAGTAGTAGTAGTAGTAGTAGTAGAAGTAGTAGTAGTAGTAGTAGTAGTAGTCGCAGTAGTAAAAAGAAGTAGTACTCGAAGTAAGAATCATGAGCAAATCATCCTAGTAGTAGTAGTAGTTGTTGTAGTAGTCGTAGTATACATGGTAGTTGCAGTAGTAGTAATAGTAGTAGCAGTAGTAGTAGTAGTTGTAGTAGTAGTAGCAGTAGTAGTAGTAGTAGTAGTAGTACACATAGTTGTAGTAGTCGTAGTAGTGGTAGTAGTAGTAGTAGTAGTAGTAGTAGTAGTAGTAGTAGTAGTCATTGTAGTAATAATGTGATGAATATTATTGGTAATGGTAGTTGTAGTAGTAGTAGTAGTAGTAGCCGTAATAGTACTACCAGTGCTACTGATACTGCTAGTCGTAGTCGTAGTAGTAGTAGTAGTAGTAGTATGAGTAGTAGTAGTAGGAGTAGTAGTAGTAGGAGTAGTAATAGAAATAGTAGTCGTAGTAGTAGTAGTAGTAGTAGTAGTAGTAGTAGTAGTAGTAGTAGTAGTAGTAGTAGTAGTAGTAGTAGTAGTAGAAGTAGTGGTAGTAGTAGTAGTAGTCGTAGTAGTAGTAGTAGTAGTAGTAGTAGTAGTAGTAGTAGTAGTAGTAGTAGTGGTAGTAGTAGCAATCGTAGTAGTGATAACAGTAGTTGTAGTAATGCGAGTACTACCACTGTTCTGTGGCTTTCCACTGAGTGGTAATACAAATCCGCCGACCCTGTCGGCGTGTGTGAGGGGCTTTTCCGTTCGAGCCGTCATCTCCGTCATTCTTTGTACTCGTCGTCTCTGTCCTTCCCTTTCCCTGGGACTCCTCTTCCCCTGGGCTCCAGCCAAGCCGACCTTGAGCAACCTCGTAATTGAGTCGAAGGGAAGCCCCTTCCCTTTGATCCCTCCCCCGCCGGGAGGGGGGGGGGGGTAGCGACCCCCCCCCCGGGTCAGATACGACGCCCCCCCCTGGGACTCCTCTTCCCCTGGGCTCCAGCCAAGCCGACCTTGAGCAACCTCGTAATTGAGTCGAAGGGAAGCCCCTTCCCTTTGATCCCTCCCCCGCCGGGCGGGGGGGGGGGGTGTCGACCCCCCCCCGGGTCAGATACGACGCCCCCCCCTGGGACTCCTCTTCCCCTGGGCTCCAGCCAAGCCGACCTTGAGCAACCTCGTAATTGAGTCGAAGGGAAGCCCCTTCCCTTTGATCCCTCCCCCGCCGGGAGGGGGGGGGGGGTGTCGACCCCCCCCCCGGGTCAGATACGACGCCCCCCCCTGGGACTCCTCCAGCCAAGCCGACCTTGAGCAACCTCGTAATTGAGTCGAAGGGAAGCCCCTTCCCTTTGATCCCTCCCCCGCCGGGAGGGGGGGGGGGGTAGCGACCCCCCCCCCCGGGTCAGATACGACGCCCCCCCCTGGGACTCCTCTTCCCCTGGGCTCCAGCCAAGCCGACCTTGAGCAACCTCGTAATCTCTTGCTGCGCATTGCGAACAGGGTCGGCGGCACCGGCCGTCAGGCCTTCGCAATAATCATCATCACCATCAGCAACATCAGCCTCATCATCATCAAAATCATCAGCATCATCATCAGCATCGACATCAGCGTCAGCATCATCAGCAGCAGCAGCATCAACAGCATCATCAGCAGCAGCATCAGTAGTGGCATCATTATCAGCAGAAGCAGCATCGTCATCAGCATCATAAGCATCAGTAAAAGCGTCATCATCAGCAGCAGCATCATCAGCAGCAGCAGCGTCATCCTCATCCTCATCATCATCATCATCAGCAACAGCAGCATCATAATGATTGGCATCCGCATCGGCATGTCTGCCCTCATCTGCGTAATCAGCCTCAGCATCATCATCGTCATAATCAGCAGCAGCATCAACTTCATCAGCATCACCCCCATCATCAGCAGCAGCATCATCAGCACCAGCATCATCAGTGTCGTCATCGTCATCATCAGCATAATTATAAGCATAATCACCAGTATCATCAGCATCATCAGCATCAGCATCAGCAGTCGCAGCAGCGTCAGCAGCATCAGCAACATCAGCATCATCAGCATCATCATCGTCATCATCAGCAGCATCAGCATCAGCATCAGCACCATCATCATCATCATCATCATCAGCATCATCACCATCAGCGTCATCAGCATCATCATCAGCAGCACCATCAGCAGCATCATCGCCAGCATCAGCATCATAATCAGCATTAACAGCACCATCATCAGCAGCAGCATCATCAACTTTACCAGCATCATCATCATCAGCAGCATCCTCATCATCAGCAGCAGCATTATGATCATGATCAGGTTCATCCGCATCATCATGGTTGCCCGCATGTGCATCCTCATCCTCATCATCATCATCAGTAGCATCAGCAGCAGCACAATCATCATCAGCATCATCAGCATCATCATCATCAGCAGCAGCATCAGTGTCATCATCATCAGCAACAGCATCATCAGCAGCATCAGCAGTCGCAGCAGCATCAGTATCATCAGCATCAGCAGCACCAGCAGCATCAGCATCATCAGCATCATCAGCATCATCATCATCAGCAGCATCATCATCAGCATCAGCATCAGCATCAGCACCAGCATCATCAGCAGCAGCATCGTGATCGGTATCGGCATCGTCATCATCGTCAACATCGTCATCATCCAAATACACAACCAAAACCAAAAACTAGATCCAGCACCTGCTCCTACCCCCCATCCCTTCATGTGTTTATCCTGCTCATCATCTTGTTTGTGCACCTACTGCATTTCAGGCCTCGCGGGGGTGGAAGGGATAAGGAAGATGCGAAGCAGGATGAGGCCGACAAGCAGGAGAACGGCAAGGAAAGTGAGGGGCAGGAGGGTCTGGAGCAGCGAGACGAGGGCATTGAGCACGGAGGGCTTCAGCGGCAGCAGCGATTGGCTTGCGCAAGCCAGGTGACGATGAGGAGGAGGAGAAGAAATATTCCCATTCCCCTCCTTCTACGCCAACTTACTGGGCCCTTCCCTCCACCAATCCCCCGCCGTCCCCCACCTGTTCCCCCTCGTCAAGCAGACTGAATGAGATCAGTCACGAATTCGTCACTTCCGTTCTGAGGTCGAAACTCCGCCGCTGCATGTTCCTCTTCCTCCTCCTCTCCCTCGGGGACGGGCTGACTTGTGGCAGCGCTAGCCCGGCCCAGCCCTGACCCAGGTCCGAACCTGGGGCAGCCATGCGGAAGCTCCCAAACCTGAGTCGGCGGATGGAGGGTACGGACAAGATCGGTGCTCCTCCTCCTCCTCCTCCTCCGTGCTCCTCCTCCGTGCTCCTCCTCCTCCTCCTCCGTGCTCCTCCTCCTCCTCCTCCTCCTCCTCCTCCTCCTCCTCCTCCTCCTCCTCCGTGCTCCTCCTCCTCATCGGGTTATCAACCCTTCTGCCTCCGTCTTCCGAGTACCCCTCGCCGCCACCGTACAGTGCCCCTGACAGCTAGCTGCCCATTTCCCCTCCCACCTACCCCGCCATACAACCCCAGCCCCTCTCCCAAATCTTCCGATGGACCCAACAGCCCTGATGATGACCCCCAGTCCCGATTCATAGACCCCAAGTGGCTCTCAAATGCATCAACATGCCTCCAGGAGGCTGAAAGATGACTCGACAAGGTATCGAGAGGGACAAAATATTGTCCAAAGGGGCCCCTGTATCGTTTGTTCCTGACGTTCACCTGGTGCCCCCGCATCCTCTTCGTCTCCCTGACGCGCGCAATCGACTCCTCCAACGCCGCCGCCTGTGGCAGCCTGCGCGTCTATACGCGCGGGCGGGAGCGCCTTCTTGTCGAGTTTGCCCCTGTCCGTCACGGGCAACCTAAGGCGCCGAGATCTATACATATACACTGGTCCCTGGCTACGCCCATCCTGAACCGGGCAGCGATGTATACGTGACGCCCTCCTGGCTTGGCCAGAAGGGCATATACACAGCTGCGGGGTTCAGGATGGGCCTGGCCAGGGAGCAGTGGATATGAATAGATCTCGTCACCCTGCAACCGCGCCAACTTCTGGAACGAAGATGGCACCATGTAGTGCGCCAGCTGGCGGGAGCACAAGGCACGCAGCGCGTCCAAGTCAACGCTGTCGGGCGCCACGTAGGCCGCCAGGACTTTCGATGCGCCGTCCCCAGCGAGGATCACCACTGCGTTCTTGACGCCAGCGCCGCCGCGGATCACAGCCTCGATTTCCCCGAGCTCGATGCGGAAGCCGCGCAGCTTGATCTGAGTGTCCGCACGTCCTAGGAACTGCAACTGCCCGCTCGGCTTCCAGCAGGCAAGGTCGCCGGTGCGGTACATGCGTTCGCCAGGGAACTTCGAAGCCATCACGGAGTCGTCGACGAAGACTCTGTCCGTCTGTTCTCTACTTCCGAGATATCCGCGCGCGATAAATTTGCCCGCGAAGTAAATCTCGCCAGGCACGTTAACCTCGCTAAGCCTCTGCGCGATGGTGTCCAGGGTGTAAACGCGGATACCACCGATGGGTGTGCCGATAGGCACCTGTGGAATCTTCTGTCCACGAGGGCAACGCCAAACCGTCATAGAGCCCTCCGTGGGCCCATACAGGTTGTCCAGCTCCGCCTCGTTTATCATCTGGAAATGCTGTTGGATCGTCTCCTCGGTCAGCGGCTCACCGCAGGTGATGATCTGCCGCAGCGAGAAGCCCGCATCCACTGGGCTCTTTTCCTCCGCCTGAATATAGTCCAGCAGCATGTTCAGCATGGAGGGGACCATGTACATCACGGTGACGGGGTACTTCTCGCACAGGCCGAAGATGTACTCTGGGTCCTTCTCGCCGCCGGGCTTCGGAATCACAAGCGTGCCACCCACCGCGAGTGGCCAGAACATCTCCCACTCCGAGATGCCGAAGGTGTAGGCGTGCTTCAGGATCGTCGCCTGCCCTGGTCCCAGACCGTACTGCTCCTGCATCCACTCCACGCGGTGCCGCAGTCCTCAAAGGCACCGATAAGGGGATTGGCTTAATGAGTGAAAACATCGGCCTGGAATCGGCGAGACGTCGCCAATACATCCGCGATAGGCCCCCGATTGCGAATCCGCAAGTTCCTGGGCGGGGCGGGCTATCTTGCCCCCATCGGGGATCAATGGGCGATTGGGGTGTCGATGCATCACCCCCCTGAGCCTATCCCAAGCGGAAGAGCAACTGCATATGAGAACCTAATATTTCAAAGCTCCGCGCGGATCTCTTGGATCTCCGCAGCACGCCTGGGGCGAGGCGCCGACAGGGGTTTCCAACACAGGTCCAAGAAGTCCGCTCGAAGCTCACAGTGTCATTATGTTTTTTGTTATGCGAATCCCCCCCCCGACGTTACCCCTGGAGTCCCGCATGCTCAACCTGGACGCCCTTCGGTGTCCCGGTCGAGCCGCTGGTGAAGAACACGTACACGATCCCCTCGCCCGCCTCCTGCCGCGCCCGCGTCTCCTTCGTGCCCTCTGCGGCCCCGTTGCGCGGCAGACGCGAGGGAACGGTGCGGATCTCCAGGAGCTCCTCGGGGAAGCAGAAAGACGTGCTCGCCGGCGGCGCTGGCGGCCGCAAGCGCGTCTGCCGAGCCAGCGGGCGAGCCACCGGGGCCCCTAGGCACGCTGCAGCGGGCGGAGAAGATCCCCAGCCTCGAACTTATCCCTACCCCTAAGATCGGCACGCCAAAAGGCGACTGACAATCTTAGGGATGCGCCCTCACAAAAGGAGGGAATCCCTAAGATTTGGCATCCTGATGAGGAGATGCCCAGCACAGGGACAGGGATGTGTCCCAGGCTGGCAAGAAGAGAGGGGGGCGGCCGAGGAGCCGGGAGGGGGGACGGAGGCCCGGCCCCCGAGAGTCCACGGGCGGCGGGCGCGCGCAGGTGGCCCAGGGCACCGAAACGGGAGCGTGCTTGGGGGACTGTGCTGCTGGGCCTGTTGTCCACCACCACCACCATGAGTTGGAGGGGGAAGGGGTCCTCCTCCTCTTCCTCCTCCTCCTCCTCCTCCTCCTCCTCCACCTCCTCCTCCACCTCCTCCTCCTCCACCTCCTCCACTTGAACACCAGGACACGGAAAGCCGTGCCAGTGCTATGTGGTTATGATGGAGGCGCACGCCCGACACGACCACACGGTATACAACTCTTACAGTGCATCGTTTCCCGAGCGGCATGGCCATAAAACGCCCGCAGCGGAGCTTATACCATAAGAGTTCCGAGCGCGCGAACCGCACTTGCGGGGCCAACGCACACACAGTATGAATATGTGTGGGTAGTGCCGGTCCTTGTGCGCGATGATCGTTCTGCCTCTGCTGCGATTCACTGCGCTCAGCTGCACCACGGCCCACGACAGGGCGCCAGCTTTGAGAGCTTCTGGCGTTATTTTGTCGAGAAGCTTCTCCACCGTCACCACTGCCTTGGGCTGCACCTGCTGCAGGATCCCGAGGATCCTCCCGCTGGGGTAGTGCGGCTCGAGCGGAACATACGCGCCGCCAGCCATCAGCACGCCGTAGATCGCCACGAGCATGAAAACGCCGCGCTCGAAGAGGAGTGGCACCATTTGATCGAATCCGACGCCGAACTCATCCCTGAGCTTCTGGGACAAGAAGGGGGACGACAACGGCGGGGAAGAATGAAGGACAAAAGCAGAGCAGGGAAAAAAGGGGAATGGGGACATAGATCGAGCGGACCACAAGGCGGCAGCTTTGAATCCAGTACACACCCAGCTGCCTTTCAACGAACCGGCCCCGATGATTGGCGGCGCGCGCAAGGGAGCGGTGCGAGGGAGGCGATATTCTGAAGAGGCGGGAGGCAGGAAGGGCTTTTCAGAAGCCGCTGCGGCCTCTGGGGAGCTTCCGATGTGCCTCCAGGCCCTTCCAAAAAGGCCCCTCCAATATGTTCGGGGAGGCCTCCCGCCATTGTACAAGGCCGCCCCCCTCGCGCCAGCACCCCGTGCGCGCCGCCGAGATGAGCGGAGTCAATCAAGCAGCAAGCACACGACATACTGGACAAGGCCAGGCATTGCAAGCGATAGGCTTCGCGCCAGACTCACCAGAGCCAACAAGATCATAGTCATCATCGCGAGAGATTTGCCAGAGGTCCACCAGGAGGATGGGAGCAACAGAAGTTTTGACATATGCCCGCCCAGAGGGCCAGAGGCGTGCCAAAACCACCAGAAGAGTCTCAAAGGATGTCCAGGTCACTCGCGCGTGGCGGCCCCCGGGTGTCCCCAGACGAAGAATGATTACCCCGGGCAGCCGCCAGCAGTCCTTGGGCCACGGATGCCAGGACTCCTGGGCGCGTCCCTGGGGCCCCAATTGCGCCCCAGGAGCGCTACAAAGAGGCACCAAACAGGAGCAGGCCGCGGCCTCAGGCCAAGAGCGATGCAAAACGGCAAAAGATGGCTAGAAGACGGCCCAAGAGGCGCCCAAGACGACCCAAGAGGGTTCCAACAAACCTGAAGAGGGCACCAGGACGCACACGTCAGTGATGATGCTGCGGTTTGTGACAGAGGATCGTGGATCTGAGCGACATCGCCTCTGCGGGTGCCCGACCGCCCAGGACGGGCCAGAACATCGCCAAGACCGCTTCAGGTCAGCAGTAGAGGCCCCCAGGACGGCCCCCGGGACGGCCCGCGAGGACTCAAAGACGGCCCGAGAGGCCTTGCAAGAGAGCTCCAGAGGCTCCCATGAAGGCCCCACGGGGGGGAATCCAAACTCACATGTCGAGAAGCAGAAGTCCGATCGAGCGCCCTAGGACGACGTCTCGTCCCGCTTGCGGGAACGGCGTGATTCATGCAGAAAGAAGAACAAACACATGCATAAAGAAGAACACATGCCCCGAAAGATGGCGCGCGAGCCCGCCACCTGGCCCCAAAGGAACCCACATGATGCCCCGGGAGGCCCCAGGAGGTCACAAAAAATGCCACCTAGAAGCACCCCAGAGGCCTCAGAAGAGATCCGAAGGAGCATCCTAAAAAGTTTGCAGGAATCTGGGGGCAAAACCCGCCCGGCAAGGGGATCAGAATTCTTTCTTACGCCACGCGACTGCGGAACGCACGCTACACGCAAATCCCCGCGCACGCCGCCCCGTCGCGTGGCCTCGAAAGGCAGCGCGCCCGCTATTAGATGCCTTTCGACGGCCTCGAAGGCGTCGTCGCAGTCGTCGCAACACATCACGATAATATAATAGGTCGAATCCTTCCCGCGATCAGCCCAAGTCGTAGCTTGGGACTCGTCTCCTCCTTAGTCCCACCAGCCCTCTGGGCCTCGGTGGTGTAAAGAGTTTCCTCTTCCACCCCTCCTTTTCCCCCTTCGGGGAGGGGTTCACTACTCCCAATTAATAAACACCCCCTCCCCCAGGCGACTGGGGGCCAACCAGGGACCATGACGACACCCCCCCCCCACCATCCCTTGTAAAATACGATACAAACACACACTCTGCCTGCAAATTCGGGACATGCGCAGCCAACCCGATGCGGCCCCCCCACCATCCCTGTCAAAAAACAATACAGAGTACACTTGGCGGCGGCGGCTGCGGCGGCTGCGGCGGCGGTGGCGGCGGCTGCGGCGGCAGCGGCGGCGGCGGCGGCGGCGGGGCGCGGCGGGCGGCGCGGCGGCGGCGGCGGCGGCGGCGGCGGCGGCGGCGGCGGTAGCGTGCGGCAGCGGCTGCGGCGGCGGCGGCGGTTTGGCAGCGGGGGCTGCGGCGGCGGCGGCGGCGCGGCGGCGGCGGCGGCGGCGGCGGCGGCGGCGCGGCGGCCGCGACGGCGACGGCGGCGGCGGCGGCGGCGGCAGCGCGGCGGCGGCGGCGGGCAGCGGCGGGCAGCGGCGGCGGCGGCGGCGGCGGCGGCGGCGGATTGGCCCCCAGTAGCTGCCCATCCACAGACAACTGCTGAATATGCTGAGGCTCGGGCCAGACTCGGGTGCTACGTATGTGTTGGGAGGGCGGGTGGGAGTGAGCGACACGCTTGCGGGCGGGGAGGGGGTCTTGACCCCTCCCCCTACCCCCTCCCCATGGACCTGGAGGCGGGGGGGTCGCGAGTCGTCAGGGCGTCCAAAACGGCCTCGGCGAGGAAGCCAAAATCATTGATTGTACTACGGTTTTGGCCCCATGTTGGCCTCCTGGCGGAGGGGGGAGGGGGGGGGGGGGGGGGGCAATTGGCGCTCCCCCTCTTGTTTGATCGATCTCATCCACGATGGCCCCAAGAAGCGCCCAGGAGGTCCCAAGAGGTCCCAGGATGGCCCCAAAATGGCCCCAAGAGGCCCCCAAGACGCCCCCAGGAGGCCCCCAAGAGACCCCCAAGGGGCCCCAAGAGACCCCCCAGAGGCACCCAAGATGCTCCAAGAGGCCTCGGCGAGAATGCCACAACGGCCTCGGCGAGGAAGCCAAAATCACTCGTTGTACTAAGGTTTTGGCCCCATGTTGGCCTCCGGGGGGGGCGCTAATTACTGATCCCCTCTTGTTTGATCGATCTCATCCACGATGGCCCCAAGAAGCGCCCAGGAGGTCCCAAGAGGTCCCAGGATGGCCCCAAAATGGCCCCAAGAGGCCCCCAAGACGCCCCCAGGAGGCCCCCAAGAGACCCCCAAGGGGCCCCAAGAGACCCCCCAGAGGCACCCAAGATGCTCCAAGAGGCCTCGGCGAGAATGCCACAACGGCCTCGGCGAGGAAGCCAAAATCACTCGTTGTACTAAGGTTTTGGCCCCATGTTGGCCTCCTGGGGGGGACGCTAATTACTGCTCCCCTCTTGTTTGATCGATCTCATCCACGATGGCCCCAAGAAGCGCCCAGGAGGTCCCAAAAGGTCCCAGGATGGCCCCAAAATGGCCCCAAGAGGCCCCCAAGACGCCCCCAGGAGGCCCCCAAGAGACCCCCAAGAGGTCCCAAGAGACCCCCCAGAGGCACCCAAGATGCTCCAAGAGGCCTCGGCGAGAATGCCACATCATTGATTTCACGAAGGTTTTAGCCACATGTTGGCCTCTTGGGGGGGGAGCACTGATTCAGATGACTCCAAGAGCGTTTGGAAGAGCCCAAGACGGCACTCCAAGATGGCTCAAGATACCCCGAGATGTCTCAGAATGGTTTCCTCTGTATGCTGCCCACTTCCCTGATCCAGGCAATTCCTCTGGGCATCGTTTCTGGATGGGCTGGTGGGAAGAGCCCAAGACGGCACTCCAAGATGGCTCAAGATACCCCGAGATGTCTCATAATGGCTTCCTCTGTATGCTGCCCACTTCCCTGATCCAGGCAATTCCTCTGGGCATCGTTTCTGGATGGGCTGGTGGGGATTCGCGAAGCGTCAACAATTTACTCGGGCACCACATGCAACCTCGGTTGCGCCAGGTCACGACGTCAAACGCAATGCGGAGGGCTGGTATTGCTCCACTGCAATATTCGCGCGGGCAGCTCCTTCTCAGATTTCTGGGTGTTGTCCGTCTTGATGCTGCCCACGCGGGCGGTCGCCAGCTCGGGTTTCGTCTCCTCCACTGCGTGGGTGTGGCTCGCCGCCAATCGGCACAGAAAGCAGTATTGCGCCTACGCGACCGGCAGCTGCTCACGGATCATCACGAGTAGGGTCGTCACTGTCTTCCAGGGGGCGTCATCCCCGAGCTCCGCCACGCCACTCGCAGCAACTCCGTCTTTGGGCCGGCCCCCATGGCCTCGATTCGCGCAAACGCCGCTGCCGAGGTCAGCACTCGGATCAGCACGTGGCTGTTACGCAACACCGCCGGGGGATCTGCCACGATCGCCATCGCCGCGCACTTTGCGCGCAGATCAATCAAGTCACAGCCAGCCACGCCGCCCACGATCAACAGCTTGAGGGGACATAGGAAACGAACCCTGGGATGGGCCTCGGCGCAGATAAGGTTCTCCTCGCCGCTACACTCTGTCTGATGCGCGGGCCACTTGCGCCATTCCGGCCATGCCCGCGTCGCGCGTTCATCGAGGCGCCCCGCGCCGCCCGCGGCCGCCGCCATGCCCGCGAGCAGGGCGCACGCCACCTCGTAGCCAAGCCAATCGAACAGATGCCAGACCATCTGGCCCCCCATGACCACGCTGGTCTCGCCGTAGAATTCCGCCTCAACGACGGGCGCGCCCTGGACACCCCAGCGCCCGGCAAAGCAGATGCACGGCATGCTGTCCGCGAAGCTGGAAGCGCATGTCATCGCTCTGTTCGGCGGGTCGTCAGGAACATCGTAGAATTCCAAAGATACATTGCCCGGCCGCCCTAGCCCGCCGCGAGGCACACGCCCGACCTCGCAGGTGCCCGCCAGGTAGCAAGTCACCTTGCTCACGCGTTGCCCGCCGAAGAGCCGCGGCCCATTTAGCCTCCGCGCCACGAGCCAAGCGCTCCTCTCCACGTTCAAGCGGACGACCGCCAAGCACGGCAGGACGCCCAACTCAGGTCGGCAGCGAGCCGCGCCCCCTTCGTCGAGCTCGCTCGCGGTCTCCTCGTCATCACCAGGGCGATTGTCAGTCAGACCCGGCGCCTTTGCGCTCTCGGCCTTCGTCGTGTCGCACAGGTCGATCAGCGTCTCCACGTGCTCCGAATCGCCGCGGATCATGGCGCAATCGCGCAGACGCAGAC